TCTTGTGTTGTGGTGGGCCGTGTGTTTGTGGTGGGTCTTGTGTTGTGGTGGGTCGTGTGTTGTGGTGGGCCGTGTGTTGTGGTGGGCCGTGTGTTGTGGTGGGCCGTGTGTTTGTGGTGGGTCTTGTGTTGTGGCGGTCTTGTGTTGTGGTGGGTCTTGTGTTGTGGTGGTCTTGTGTTGTGGTGGGTCTTGTGTTGTGGTGGGTCTTGCGTTGTGGTGGGTCTTGTGTTGTGGTGGGTCTTGTGTTGTGGTGGGTCTTGTGTTGTGGTGGGTCTTGTGTTGTGGTGGGTCTTGTGTTGTGGTGGGTCTTGTGTTGTGGTGGGTCTTGTGTTGTGGTGGGCCGTGTGTTGTGGTGGGTCTTGTGTTGTTGTGGGCCGTGTGTTGTGGTGGGCCGTGTGTTGTGGTGGGTCTTGTGTTGTGGTGGGTCTTGTGTTGTTGTGGGCCGTGTGTTGTGGTGGGCCGTGTGTTGTGGTGGGTCTTGTGTTGTGGTGGGCCGTGTGTTGTGGTGGGTCTTGTGTTGTGGTGGGCCGTGTGTTGTGGTGGGCCGTGTGTTGTGGTGGGTCTTGTGTTGTTGTGGGCCGTGTGTTGTGGTGGGTCTTGTGTTGTGGTGGGTCTTGTGTTTTTGTGGGCCGTGTGTTGTGGTGGGTCTTGTGTTGTTGTGGGCCGTGTGTTGTGGTGGGTCTTGTGTTGTGGTGGGCCGTGTGTTGTGGTGGGTCTTGTGTAGTTGTGGGCCGTGTGTTGTGGTGGGCCTTGTGTTGTGGTGGGCCGTGTGTTGTGGTGGGCCGTGTGTTGTGGTGGGCCGTGTGTTGTGGTGGGTCTTGTGTTATTGTGGGCCGTGTGTTGTGGTGGGCCTTGTGTTGTGGTGGGTCTTGTGTTGTGGTGGGTCTTGTGTTGTGGTGGGTCTTGTGTTGTGGTGGGCCGTGTGTTGTGGTGGGTCTTGTGTTGTGGTGGGTCTTGTGTTGTTGTGGGCCGTGTGTTGTGGTGGGTCTTGTGTTGTTGTGGGCCGTGTGTTGTGGTGGGCCTTGTGTTGTGGTGGTTCTTGTGTTGTGGTGGGCCGTGTGTTGTGGTGGGCCGTGTGTTGTGGTGGGCCGTGTGTTGTGGTGGGTCTTGTGTTGTTGTGGGCCGTGTGTTGTGGTGGGTCTTGTGTTGTGGTGGGTCTTGTGTTGTGGTGGGTCTTGTGTTGTTGTGGGCCGTGTGTTGTGGTGGGTCTTGTGTTGTGGTGGGCCTTGTGTTGTGGTGGGTCTTGTGTTGTTGTGGGCCGTGTGTTGTGGTGGGTCTTGTGTTGTGGTGGGCCGTGTGTTGTGGTGGGTCTTGTGTTGTGGTGGGTCTTGTTTTGTGGTTGGCCGTGTGTTGTGGTGGGTCTTGTGTTGTGGTGGGTCTTGTGTTGTGGTGGGCCGTGTGTTGTGGTGGGTCTTGTGTTGTGGTGGGTCTTGTTTTGTGGTTGGCCGTGTGTTGTGGTGGGTCTTGTGTTGTGGTGGGCCTTGTGTTGTGGTGGGTCTTGTGTTGTTGTGGGCCGTGTGTTGTGGTGGGTCTTGTGTTGTGGTGGGCCGTGTGTTGTGGTGGGATGTGTGTTGTGGTGGGTGTTGTGTTGTTGTGGGCCGTGTGTTGTGGTGGGTCTAGTGTTGTGGTGGGCCGTGTGTTGTGGTGGGCCGTGTGTTGTGGTGGGTCTTGTGTTGTTGTGGACCTTGTGTTGTGGTGGGCCTTGTGTTGTGGTGGGTCTTGTGCTGTGGTGGGCCTTGTCTTGTAGTGGGTCTTGTCTTGTGGTGGACTTTGTGTTGTGGTGGGCCTTGTGTTGTGGTGGGCCTTGTGTTGTGGTGGGCCTTGTGTTGTGGTGGGCCTTGTGTTGTGGTGGGCCTTGTGTTGTGGTGGGCCGTGTGTTGTGGTGGGCCTTGTGTTGTGGTGGGCCGTGTGTTGTGGTGGGCCTTGTGTTGTGGTGGGCCGTGTGTTGTGGTGGGCCTTGTGTTGTGGTGGGCCGTGTGTTGTGGTGGGCCTTGTGTTGTGGTGGGTCTTGTGTTGTTGTGGACCTTGTGTTGTGGTGGTCCTTGTGTTGTGGTGGACCTTGTGTTGTGGTGGCCCTTGTGTTGTGGTGGGCCTTGTGTTGTGGTGGGCCGTGTGTTGTGGTGGGTCTTGTGTTGTGGTGGGTCTTGTGTTGTGGTGGACCTTGTGTTGTGGTGGGCCGTGTGTTGTGGTGGGCCGTGTGTTGTGGTGGGCCGTGTGTTGTGGTGGGTCTTGTGTTATTGTGGGCCGTGTGTTGTGGTGGGCCTTGTGTTGTGGTGGGTCTTGTGTTGTGGTGGGTCTTGTGTTGTGGTGGGTCTTGTGTTGTGGTGGGCCGTGTGTTGTGGTGGGTCTTGTGTTGTGGTGGGTCTTGTGTTGTTGTGGGCCGTGTGTTGTGGTGGGTCTTGTGTTGTTGTGGGCCGTGTGTTGTGGTGGGCCTTGTGTTGTGGTGGGTCTTGTGTTGTGGTGGGCCTTGTGTTGTGGTGGGCCGTGTGTTGTGGTGGGCCGTGTGTTGTGGTGGGTCTTGTGTTGTTGTGGGCCGTGTGTTGTGGTGGGTCTTGTGTTGTGGTGGGTCTTGTGTTGTGGTGGGCCGTGTGTTGTGGTGGGTCTTGTGTTGTTGTGGGTCGTGTGTTGTGGTGGGTCTTGTGTTGTGGTGGGCCGTGTGTTGTGGTGGGCCGTGTGTTGTGGTGGGCCTTGTGTTGTGGTGGGCCTTGTGTTGTGGTGGGTCTTGTGTTGTGGTGGGCCTTGTGTTGTGGTGGGTCTTGTGTTGTGGTGGGCCTTGTGTTGTGGTGGGTCTTGTGTTGTGGTGGGTCTTGTGTTGTGGTGGACCTTGTGTTGTGGTGGGCCTTGTGTTGTGGTGGGTCTTGTGTTGTGGTGGGTCTTGTGTTGTGGTGGGCCTTGTGTTGTGGTGGGTCTTGTGTTGTCGTGGGTCTTGTGTTGTGGTGGACCTTGTGTTGTGGTGGGTCTTGTGTTGTGGTGGGCCTTGTGTTGTGGTGGGCCTTGTGTTGTGGTGGGTCTTGTGTTGTGGTGGGCCTTGTGTTGTGGTGGGCCTTGTGTTGTGGTGGGTCTTGTGTTGTGGTGGGTCTTGTGTTGTGGTGGGCCTTGTGTTGTGGTGGGTCTTGTGTTGTGGTGGGCCTTGTGTTGTGGTGGACCTTGTGTTGTGGTGGGTCTTGTGTTGTGGTGGGTCTTGTGTTGTGGTGGGTCGTGTGTTGTGGTGGGCCTTGTGTTGTGGTGGGTCGTGTGTTGTGGTGGGTCTTGTGTTGTGGTGGGTTTTGTGTTGTGGTGGGCCTTGTGTTGTGGTGGATTTTGTGTTGTGGTGGGCCTTGTGTTGTGGTGGGCCTTGTGTTGTGGTGGGCCTTGTGTTGTGGTGGGCCGTGTGTTGTGGTGGGCCTTGTGTTGTGGTGGGCCGTGTGTTGTGGTGGATTTTGTGTTGTGGTGGGCCGTGTGTTGTGGTGGGCCTTGTGTTGTGGTGGGCCTTGTGTTGTGGTGGGCCTTGTGTTGTGGTGGATTTTGTGTTGTGGTGGGCCGTGTGTTGTGGTGGGCCGTGTGTTGTGGTGGGCCTTGTGTTGTGGTGGGCCGTGTGTTGTGGTGGGCCTTGTGTTGTGGTGGGCCTTGTGTTGTGGTGGGCCTTGTGTTGTGGTGGGCCTTGTGTTTTGGTGGGTCTTGTGTTGTGGTGGGCCGTGTGTTGTGGTGGGCCGTGTGTTGTGGTGGGTCTTGTGTTGTGGTGGGTCTTGTGTTGTGGTGGGTCTTGTGTTGTGGTGGGCCGTGTGTTGTGGTGGGCCGTGTGTTGTGGTGGGTTTTGTGTTGTGGTGGGCCTTGTGTTGTGGTGGGTCGTGTGTTGTGGTGGGCCTTGTGTTGTGGTGGGTCTTGTGTTGTGGTGGGCCGTGTGTTGTGGTGGGCCGTGTGTTGTGGTGGGTTTTGTGTTGTGGTGGGCCTTGTGTTGTGGTGGGTCGTGTGTTGTGGTGAGCCTTGTGTTGTGGTGGGCTTTGTGTTGTGGTGGGTCTTGTGTTGTGGTGGGCCTTGTGTTGTGGTGGCCTTGTGTTGTGGTGGGTCTTGTGTTGTGGTGGGTCTTGTGTTGTGGTGGGTCTTGTGTTGTGGTGGGCCTTGTGTTGTGGTGGGTCTTGTGTTGTGGTGGGCCTTGTGTTGTGGTGGGCCTTGTGTTGTGGTGGGCCTTGTGTTGTGGTGGGTCTTGTGTTGTGGTGGGCCTTGTGTTGTGGTGGGCCATGTGTTGTGGTGGGCCTTGTGTTGTGGTGGGCCTTGTGTTGCACTAAGCCTGGTTTTACCCTCATCGAGAGTGTTGTGATCCAGCGCGGGCCCCAAGCCGCTGGCTGGCCCCAATAAGATAATGTCCAGTGTTGAACAACTTCTTCTGCTCTGTTAAATCTTTGTTGAAATCTTATTTGGTTTACTGAACTTTCAGATGGTCAAGACCAACTTGACTTGAATGTTTAAGCTGACAGCTGACAGGAGGGGCGGGTAGCTGACAGGAGGGGGGGGGGGGGGGGTAGCTGACAGGAGGGGGGGGGAGTGGGGGGGGGGGGGGTAACTGACAGGGAATCAATTCAAATTTGCGTCAGCGACATTGCTTGACGCTTCATTTTGCGTCCTCCTTAATCATGTTCAGCTCTTGGGTCCTGGATATTACAATGTGTGTATAGATAACTTAGGTCAGAGTGTGACCCCCGGGGGTCAAGTGACTACCTGGGGGGGGGGGTGGAGGGCCAGCTAGGAGGCTTCCCCTTGAAGCTTGAGGTTCACCCACATCTCAGAGCTTGACCTCAGGAGAAGTGTCTGAAGTTTGGCTAAGGTAGGAGTGACGCTACACATTTTCTTTTAGAAGACAACAAAGTCATCTTAACTTTGCCAGAAGGAGCCTAGACATCTTAAGATACGCTACAACGAGTGAATTCACTAGCAAGGAGATGAGCTCCAGGAAGTGACGTCAGCAGAAGTGGGCGGTACCAGGGCGTGACGTCACATGAGGACTGGTGGCCTACCAACCATAGGCCCGTCAGTGTCCAGGACGGTGAGGTAGGGGACACACGCGCCGCTCCCGACACACTTCCCAGATATGGCGTCTGTTGGTTACTTGGACACTCAGGTGATGACTTGTGGAGCCATGTTCCTGTCCCTTCTCGTCTGGTGTGTTGCTCTGATGATTGTGTGGGTGTGATGATTGTTGCTGTGATGACTGCGTTGCTGTGATGATTGTGTTGCTGTGATGATTGTGTTGCTGTGATGACTGTGTTGCTGTGATGATTGTGTTGCTGTGATGATTGTGTTGCTGTGATGATTGTGTTGCTGTGATGATTGTGTTGCTGTGATGATTGTGTTGCTGTGATGATTGTGTTGCTGTGATGATTGTGTTGCTGTGATGATTGTGTTGCTGTGATGATTGTGTTGCTGAGAAGATTGTGTTGCTGTGATGATTGTGTTGCTGTGATGATTGTGTTGCTGAGAAGATTGTGTTGCTGTGATGACTGTGTTGCTGTGATGACTGTGTTGCTGTGATGATTGTGTTGTTGTGATGATTGTGTTGCTGAGAAGATTGTGTTGCTGTGATGATTGTGTTGCTGGGATGATTGTGTTGCTAGGATGATTGTGTTGCTGAGAAGATTGTGTTGTTGTGATGATTGTGTTGTTGTGATGATTGTGTTGCTGTGATGATTGTGTTGCTGTGATGATTGTGTTGCTGAGAAGATTGTGTTGCTGTGATGATTGTGTTGCTGTGATGATTGTGTTGCTGAAAAGATTGTGTTGCTGGGATGAATGTGTTGCTGTGATGATTGTATTGGTGTGATGATTGTGTTACTGTGATGATTGTGTTGCTGTGATGATTGTGTTGCTGTGTTGCTGTGATGATTGTGTTGTTGTGATGATTGTGTTGCTATGATTGTGTTGCTGTGATGACTGTGTTGCTGTGATGACTGTGTTGCTGTGATGATTGTGTTGCTGTGATGATTGTGTTGTTGTGATGATTGTGTTGATTTGGGATGATTGTGTTGCTGTGATGATTGTGTTGCTGTGATGATTGTGTTGCTGTGATGATTGTATTGCTGTGATGATTGTGTTGCTGTGATGATTGTGTTGCTGTGATGATTGTGTTGCTGAGAAGATTGTGTTGTTGTGTTGCTGTGATGATTGTGTTGTTGTGTTGCTGTAATGATTGTGTTGCTGTGATGATTGTGTTGCTGTGATGATTGTGTTGCTGTGATGATTGTGTTGCTGTGATGATTGTGTTGCTGTGATGATTGTGTTGCTGTGATGACTGTGTTGCTGTGATGATTGTGTTGCTGTGATGATTGTGTTGCTGTGATGATTGTGTTGCTGTGATGATTGTGTTACTGTGATGATTGTGTTGCTGTGATGATTGTGTTGCTGTGATGATTGTGTTGCTGTGATGATTGTGTTGCTGAGAAGATGTGTGTTGTTGTGTTACTGTGATGATTGTGTTGCTGTGATGATTGTGTTGCTGTGATGATTGTGTTGCTGTGATGATTGTGTTGCTGTGATGACTGTGTTGCTGTGATGATTGTGTTGCTGTGATGATTGTGTTGCTGAGAAGATTGTGTTGCTGTGATGATTGTGTTGCTGAGAAGATTGTGTTGTTGTGTTGCTGTGATGATTGTGTTGTTGTGTTGCTGTGATGACTGTGTTGCTGTGATGATTGTGTTGCTATGATTGTGTTGTTGTGTTGCTGTGATGATTGTGTTGCTGTGATGATTGTGTTGCTGTGATGATTATGTTGCTATGATTGTGTTGCTATGATTGTGTTGCTTTGATGATTGTGTTGCTGTGATGATTGTGTTGCTGTGATGACTGTGTTGCTGTGATGATTGTGTTGCTGAGAAGATTGTGTTGTTGTGTTGCTGTGATGATTGTGTTGCTGTGATGATTGTGTTGCTGTGATGATTGTGTTGTTGTGATGATTGTGTTGCTGTGATGATTGTGTTGCTGTGATGATTGTGTTGCTGTGATGATTGTGTTGCTGTGATGATTGTGTTGCTGTGATGATTGTGTTGCTGTGATGATTGTGTTGCTGTGATGATTGTGTTGCTGTGATGACTGTGATGCTGTCATGATTGTGTTGCTGTGATGATTGTGAGGGTGTGATGATTGTGTTGCTGTGATGATTGTGTTGCTGTGATGATTGTGTTACTGTGATGATTGTGTTGCTGTGATGATTGTGTTGCTGTGGTGATTGTGTTGCTGTGATGATTGTGTTGCTGTGATGATTGTGTTGCTGTGATGATTGTGTTGCTGTGATGATTGTGTTGCTGTGATGATTGTGTTGCTGTGATGATTGTGTTGCTGTGATGATTGTGATGCTGGAAGTCTATCAGACATGTCCAGGTCCTCACTATGCCTACCACTGATGGCCCCCCAGGATGCCTATGTTACTGTTAGGTGAACAGAGGCATCAGGTATAAGTTCCATCTAGGCAAACAAATGACTTTTACCGAGAATGTCACCCACAAGGATGTTCCTCCCACCCCCCCCCCCCCCTAGGCCTTGTGGCTTGTGTTCACCTCGCGGTAAATAAGTAGCCGGGAGATACGGAGCTGTTGTGGGTGGCATTCTGCAGAGTTACCTCCATTTAACCCCCCTATACCAACTCCTTCTTCCCGTTAAAGCGAACAACGTTTTGTTCTTCGTCTTTCAGATATTTACATTATTATCAAAACATTTGACGGAGAAAACGAAAATTTGGTTTAAAATTTAGGTCTAAAACTAAGATCTAAAACTTAGGTCTAAAACTAAGGTCTAAAACTTAGGTCTAAAACTAAGATCTAAAACTTAGGTCTAAAACTAAGATCTAAAACTTAGGTCTAAAACTAAGATCTAAAATTAATACTAAAGTTCAATCTTGACCTCTGACAGGACGAGCCGCAGCAACCAGTGTTGCACTCTCAGGACTGGCTGAACTACTCGGCCGAGTGCGTGTACGGCTACACTCCCACCATTCCTGAGTACATTGAAGGTTAGTTCACCCCTCTATAGCGCACGGGATAGGAATATGAGACAGACTAAGAGCTGGGATATGAGACAGACTAAGTGCTGAGACGTGAGGAACAGGCTAAGAGCTAGGTTAAGATAGAGGCTAAGAGCTAGGATATGAGATAGACTAAGAGCTGGGATATGAGATAGACTAAGAGCTGGGATATGAGACAGACTAAGAACTGGGATATTACACAGACTAAGAGCTGGGATATAATAAGAGATCAAGAGCTGAGATACAAGGACAGACTAAGAACTGGTATATGAGGATAGGATAAGAGTTGGGATATGACGAAAGAGTGCACTCCTCCCACCAGGATCTTCGGGGATTGAACCCCGACCTGCAAGAAACGAGTCCAGCGCTGTACCGACCATATCAAATACTGGCAACTACTAAACAAATTATAATTATAAGAGGGATGTTATAAAGATTTCGTTGAATCGTATATTATAATATGCTATGTTACTTAAATTACTTAAATTAGATTAAATTAGATTGCTTGAATTAAATTACTACTTAAATGAGACCTGTTCAATGGCAGTAGCATTTAAGGTATTCCTTATAGTATAACTCTTATTTAACACTTATTAGGTAAACTGTATACAAGAATACTCGTGTATTTGGCATTAAGGCCACCACAATAGCTTACTGGCCAGCCAGCAAGTATATTTTTGTCTAGACATTTGTCCAGGACATAGTAAACTCTCCGCTACCTTTTATTAACCACTTTCATTAACGAGGCTTATATAAGTAACTATAAAACTTCCACTATAGAAAGAGAGGAAGCCAGAACAAGTACTGGGGCCAGATTCACGAAGCAGTTACGCAAGCACTTACCAACCTGTCCATCTTTTCTCAATCTTTGGTGTATTTGTTTACAATTATTAAACAGTTAATGAGCACCAAAGCACCAGGCGGCTGTTTATAACAATAACAACAGTTGATTGGCAAGTTTTCATGCTTGTAAACTGTTTAATAAATGTACCACAGCCGTTAAAGATTGAGGAAAGATGTACACGTTCGTAAGTGCTTCGCGAATCTGTCCCCTGATTACTATATAAGTAGATAAATTTAATATCCAAATAGATTTAGAGATATAGAAGCAAATATAGATTTAGAGATATAGAAGCAAATAATGTTTTCAAAGACTTTAATCAGATAGCGGTATTCCAGAAAGTTAACTTGGCTGGAGACTTCGTACCCCCAGAGTACTCAAGCTGCGGCATTATATAAAAAAAAAACTACGGGCTCACCATAGCCCGTGCTACTTGGAACTTGTTTCAGGTTGCGAATCCTGAACAACAACAACATGCAGTATTATGCTTTACTTCGTCAGCTTAACATCACTAAGCTTTGCCCTGGTTGGCTGTTAACAGATCACCAGCTAATTCTGCTTTTCTCACACCATGACAAATTTTTATTTTGTCGAGAAGGTAAATGTGAGTCCTTCAGACTTGTGCTCTTAATGGAGTATAGTTCTTGATCTCTCTTCTGATAGCTTTTTGTAAGGGGAGGGGGGGGGGAGCTATCGTTGCAACCTGCTCTCGCCCAAAGAGAGCTCATATATGACTTTTTGCTTACAGTTATTATTTCGCTTATAAATAAGTACATATGTGACATGTTCCAAGCCCTATTTTTTTCAAGGCACTAACTTTTTCTCTCAGTTTTATTAAACAATAGAGATTTTATTCAAAATTTGACAATATCCTGAGTTACTTTACAATTTACTTAAATATTTTAGTTTTGTTTTATTATTATTTTTTTTAAACTGTAATATCAGTATAGGTATAGGTTCAGTACTAATTGTAATATCTTAACATACTAAGAAGGTTAGGTTAGGTTGTGGTTCTCTATTCAGCTTTTCAAGGTAAACTCAAATATTCACAATAAATTAGTATGTCACATATGCACTTATTCATAAGCAAGATATTGACTATAAGTAAGTGCGAGAACGGCTTGATCTACGACTTTGTGATAGTCCAGGAAAATGCGGTCCATCCGTACGTCTTGTGCCTCATTTTGGTCACACTGTCAGCAAATTCTCACCGAATTTTGTCCAGTCTACCTTAGCCCATCTGTTACACTGGACAGTACTATGACGGAGTTCTCTCCTGTGTCAGGGTCGTATGTGGGCGCTCTCTCCTGTGTCAGGGTCGTATGTGGGCGTTCTCTCCTGTGTCAGGGTCGTATGTGGGCGTTCTCTCCTGTGTCAGGGTCGTATGTGGGCGTTCTCTCCTGTGTCAGGGTCGTATGTGGGCGTTTTCTCCTGTGTCAGGGTCGTATGTGGGCGTTCTCTCCTGTGTCAGGGTCGTATGTGGGCGTTCTCTCCTGTGTCAGGTCGTATGTGGGCGTTCTCTCCTGTGTCAGGGTCGTATGTGGGCGTTCTCTCCTGTGTCAGGGTCGTATGTGGGCGTTTTCTCCTGTGTCAGGGTCGTATGTGGGCGTTCTCTCCTGTGTCAGGGTCGTATGTGGGCGTTCTCTCCTGTGTCAGGGTCGTATGTGGGCGTTCTCTCCTGTGTCAGGATCGTATGTGGGCGTTCTCTCCTGTGTCAGGGTCGTATGTGGGCGCTCTCTCCTGTGTCAGGGTCGTATGTGGGCGTTCTCTCCTGTGTCAGGGTCGTATGTGGGCGTTCTCTCCTGTGTCAGGGTCGTATGTGGGCGCTCTCTCCTCTGTCAGGGTCGTATGTCGGTGTTCTCTCCTGTGTCAGGGTCGTATGTGGGCGCTCTCTCCTGTGTCAGGGTCGTATGTGGGCGTTCTCTCCTGTGTCAGGGTCGTATGTGGGCGCTCTCTCCTGTGTCAGGGTCGTATGTGGGCGTTCTCTCCTGTGTCAGGGTCGTATGTGGGCGCTCTCTCCTGTGTCAGGGTCGTATGTGGGCGTTCTCTCCTGTGTCAGGGTCGTATGTGGGCGCTCTCTCCTGTGTCAGGGTCGTATGTGGGCGCTCTCTCCTGTGTCAGGGTCGTATGTGGGCGCTCTCTCCTGTGTCAGGGTCGTATGTGGGCGTTCTCTCCTGTGTCAGGGTTGTATGTGGGCGCTCTCTCCTGTGTCAGGGTCGTATGTGGGCGTTCTCTCCTGTGTCAGGGTCGTATGTGGGCGCTCTCTCCTGTGTCAGGGTCGTATGGGCGCTCTCTCCTGTGTCAGGGTCGTATGTGGGCGTTCTCTCCTGTGTCAGGGTCGTATGTGGGCGTTCTCTCCTGTGTCAGGGTCGTATGTGGGCGCTCTCTCCTGTGTCAGGGTCGTATGTGGGCGTTCTCTCCTGTGTCAGGGTCGTATGTGGGCGTTCTCTCCTGTGTCAGGGTCGTATTAGGGAGTTCTCTCCTGTGTCAGGGTCGTATTAGGGAGTTCTCTCCTGTGTCAGGGTCGTATTAGGGAGTTCTCTCCTGTGTCAGGGTCGTATTAGGGAGTTCTCTTCTGTGTCAGGGTCGTATTAGGGAGTTCTCTTCTGTGTCAGGGTCGTATTAGGGAGTTCTCTCCTGTGTCAGGGTCGTATTAGGGAGTTCTCTCCTGTGTCAGGGTCGTATTAGGGAGTTCTCTTCTGTGTCAGGGTCGTATTAGGGAGTTCTCTCCTGTGTCAGGGTCGTATTAGGGAGTTCTCTCCTGTGTCAGGGTCGTATTAGGGAGTTTTCTCCTCCATGGAGACCTTGTAACGTGTTATTCAAAGCAGTTACCTCCATCAACTGAGGGGGACAAACAGTCACTCCGGCGCTGGCCGTCATTGCATGTAACGATGGACGAAAACCTCTGCAACAGAAATCATAATTCCGCCCCTGAAGACCTCTGAGCTCTATTGACTTCATCTCTATCACATAAGTCTCTCTTTTTTTCCCTGGCTGTATTTTACACTGCATGGCTAATTGTTACATACTTATTCTAGTCATTGGTCATGTGTGTGAAGGGAAGTTTCGAAATGGGAAATACAGTGGGAATTAGGAAAGCAGGCGGGCTGTCCGCCTTGCTGACACGATGTGTGGGTGTTGGCAGCTAAGCTAAGCTGGCTTCCTCTTGTCAGGGAGCTGTGAGTGTGTGAAAGGTTCTTCACATGTGTTTCACCATATATGGATGTCCATAGATGAATACTGTGTAGCATTCATATATACACACTCCGATGTTTCCACACACGTTGTTTTGTTCAAGGCTATTTATTTTATTATTATTATTTATTTATATATGTATACATATATATATATTTTCATATATATATATATATATATATATATATATATATATATATATATATATATATATATATATATATATATATATATATATATATATATATATATATATATATATATATATATATATATATATATATATATATATATATATATATTTTCAAGTTTATTGACAAGTAGGTGACAAGTATATTTTCGTAGCAGTCTTTCTTCTAAACATATGTTGTTGAATATCACCCAAAATGTAAGATTAATAATTCTAACACGCATCTTCTCAAAATTTCTTATGTTTTTCTTCACTGTCGGTGATAATAAAAATAACAATTCTCCGAAATTCATTTTTTAATTGTCTGACGCCTGAACGCGTTTCGTAATTCGTATTACATTTTCAAAGACTTAATTTACACACTAATTCTTCGTACTTATATAAGTACGAAGAATATGACCGAAAAAGTAAGGTTAATAATTCTAACACGAATTTTCTCAATATTTCTTATGTTTCTTTTCACTGTTGATGGTAACCATCGACAGTGAAAAGAAACATAAGAAATATTGAGAAAATTTGTGTTAGAATTATTAATCTTACTTTATCGCTCATATTTAACAACATATATATATATGAGTAGCCAGAACGTCGTACTCGGCCTACTATGCAAGACCCGTTTTGCCTAATAAGCCAAGTTTTCCTGAATTTATATATTTTTCTAATTTTTTCTCACGAAATGATAAAGCTATCCATTTCACTATGTATGAGTTCATTTTTTTTAATTTGAGCTAAAACTAACGTAGATATATGACCGAACCTAAC